GATGCTCAATGTTGAAGTGTGGAGGTGAAAAGAGGTACTCTGATAGTTTCTACTTTTAGGCAATAATTTGGAAGTTTGGTGAGATGGGAAAAATGTTTACCATGTACTTAAAAGCATCATTTCCAATTTTTTATACAACACTAACCTCATATAAAACTTCCCTAGCTTATGTTGGTTGCTGTATAAAATTTCTGTAGGCACAAAATCATTCATGGAGATTTTTCTTTTGGTACCCAGATGTCTCTTTTGACCATGTTATGCAAATTTATATGATTCATTGGTAATTTAAGATCCTTTCTTGAACAGTATCCCTCTTACTGTGGAATGGTCAGCTTCGCCAGCTCATGATTACTTACTTGCCGGATGTCATGATGGAACTGTAATTTTCCTGCACTTTGTTGTTTAATTTTATTTTAATATATTTTCCTTGAAGACTTTATCATGCTTTTGCACAATTTCAAATAAGAATTCATGTTAACTTCATAGAGGGTTTCCATAGGACAAATACTCAATGGTCATAACATTGTGTTTCTTCCGCAATCTGATAGAAGGATACATACTAAGCACTTAATGTATTCATTCTGCCATCTGCTAGTTTTTCTCAACTTCATCCCACTGAGCGTTCAGTTGAAATGATCCTCTTTCTTTGGTGGCTTGTTATTTTGTGTTTTGTTGTGTCATAACTAAAGAATTTTTTTTCCATATTTCAGGTTGCTTTATGGAAGTTTTCAGCAAGTAATGCATCTCAAGGTAAGGGTAACATAGAATGCAAAAGATGTAGATATGGTTTACATCTGTCCTGGACGTATGACATAAAATTGGTAAATAAGTATGATTAGTAAACTAAGAAGGTTTGCTTCAATTATCTACTTGTTGTTCTGCAGATACAAGGCCTTTACTTTGCTTCAGTGCAGATACAAATCCTATTAGGGCACTTGCTTGGGCACCGGTTGACAGGTTAGCCATGTCGGAGATCAATTTTATATCTTACTTTCTATGTCACTTTACAGTCTGCTTGTTAAGTTTGGAGATGGTGGGGGGTGTTAATGGTTGTCTTGCCACTAAATTATGATATTTAGGCATAGAGATTTCTATTTCAGACTCTTTCATATTTTTATTTTACTAAATGTTATTTTTCTCATTCACTGGGATCTGTTAAATGCAACTGTTTGCAGCTATTCAGAGGGCGCAAATGTTATAGCTACAGCTGGACATGGAGGCCTAAAATTTTGGGACCTGCGGTAAGTACAATGCCTATTTTTTGCTAACACTCTTGTGTACATGCAGCTCATTTACTGTTAGCTAAAAATGCTTTTGGTTTTTCAGTGGAAATTGCATTTCATACTAAGAACCATAACTCTTGCTTTTGCAGTGATCCATTCCGTCCCTTGTGGGACCTCGATCATTTACCAAAGTTCATATATAGTCTAGATTGGCTTCCAGATCCAAGGTACTCATAATCTTTCTCTGTGGAACATAAATATAGCTGTCTGGTTGGTGAAATTTTATTGAAATGTTGTGTTTTTCTTGTAGGTGTGTTATTTTATCCTTTGATGATGGAACAATGAAAGTTATCAGCTTGGTGAAGGCTGCATCTGATGACCCGGTAACAGGAATGGCTGGAACAAAACAACCGGGCCTGCATAATCTCAGTTGTTTGCCTTTTGCTATCTGGAGTGTTCATGTATCACGACTAACAGGTCTTCCTTGTGCTTATCTATCTATGTGCAGTGGTATTTCAGCTAATTACAAATGTGCGCATGTAAATATAGCCTAATGGCAAATGGCGTTACCATCTCCGATCTGGTGCTAAGTTTAGTGCTATAAGACTCAACTATAAGAGTGAAACAATACATAGTAGACCTAGATTTTCCATACTCCAAACACAAGTTGTCAAAGGAAAAAAAGAGAAAAAGATTCTGGATTTATTATATGGATCCCTCATGTTTAATAGTCTCCTTGCTGCTGAATTTACATAAGCATACTGTACATGATGATTTGATAGATATAATGAAGTAGTGTCTGGTTCTTTTCCTTGTTTGTTATTCTTCAAGTGGTTGGAACTGCATAAGCATTGGCCTTCAACTTCTTAATTTTCTTTGGAATAGTGCTACTGAATATTCAGAAATTCCTCTTTCTTGTTGGTGCTTTAGTCTTCTGTCTGACTAGAATATTAAATCGTTGACCTTAATTTTTAAACAACAGTGCATGCTACTCATATATCTGTAACAGTTGCATGGTACTTTTTATTGGAGGAAGTTTGTGGGGGATATATTCTCCTTGGTTGACCTTTATAGTGGTGGGATTTTTTGATTGATCCACTTTGGAATACAGTTCTCTGCTAAGTTGATCAACCTGTATAACTCTTGAGACCAGCATTTTTTAATAACCATTAATGGATCATTTCACTTTCATATCTTTAGGTATGGCTGCATATTGTGGTGCAGATGGAACTGTTCTCCGCTTCCAGGTGAGTTTTAGCTTTTAACTTGCCATTGATATAAGACTTACTCCTTATCTTTGTTGTAGAATCATTTTTCATTCCTGGAGGGAAAATCTTAAATTCTAGATACATGTATGACTTCTGTGAGTGTAAACTTTATGATAACATCAAACATGCATGAACTGGTCAGACGATTGGGGAACATCAAATAACTTTTGCTTTCAAAGGATCTACTTTGTTAAAGAGTTTAAATTATTCTAGGTTTTTTCACTGATAGGTTTACTTATGTTTGGTCATGGAGAGTAGGGGGCATTTTCGGGATATACTTACCAAACTTGTCCTTTAGATGGTCAAACGTTTTCTTTATATCTTACTAGTGAGTCGCGTTAACGATGAATCCAGCAGGTGCTTGCTTGTCCTCTAGCTGTGCAGGTTTTTGTCAAGTTTTTTGTTCTCAAAAACTCATGCTTTGTGCCTGATGCTTGGACCTTTTTTTTTCATTGCTAAGGCTGATGCTAGGACTTTGAAATTGATACAAAAACTCCATGTTATATACTCAATTGTTATTTATTTATTTTTACAATCAGCTTACGTCCAAATCTGTGGAGAAAGATCCTAGACGACACCGGGCCCCACATTTTCTGTGTGTATCACTGACAATGGAGGAATCTGCTGTAACCATCAATACTACAGTATCAAACATCCCTTTCCCATTGAAGGTCGTTCGTAATAACCCTGAGTCAAACAAGGTGAAAAGTGCAAATGATAAGATGGCAAAAGATAGTGCATCTGAAGATCAAACTTTAGGTAACCCCAGACATTTTCTTTAAGCACCCTATGTTCATTTCTTATCTTTATTTTAGAACGTTCATCAAACTGTCTCTTGTTGCAGCTCTTTGTTATGGTGTTGATCCAGATATCCAATCAGAATCTGGGGAAAAAGTGGCTTCGCTCAAAAGAAAAAAAACAAAGAAATCTGGGTCTAGTGAGACAACGCCAGAGGATGACCAAGCATTGGTATGCGTAGATGAAGAGCCAACTAGTACGCAGGAACAAGAAATTGGGGAAAAAGTGGCTTCTGTCAGAAGCAGAAAAACACAGAAGTCTAGGTTTAGTAAGAAAAAACCAGAGGATGACCTAGCATTGGTATGCATAGATGAAGGGCCGACTAATACTCAGGACGAGGAAACTGGGGTGGCCTCTCTCAAAAGTAAGAAAACACAAAAATCTAGGTCTAGCAAGAAAAATCCAAATGATGACCGAGGATTGGCATGCATAGGTGAAGAAGAGCCAACTAATACTCTGGAGGAAGAAATTGGGGTGGCTTCTCCCAAAAGCAAAAAGAAACAGAAACCTAGGTCTAGTAAGAAAAAGCCAAATAATGACCAAGATTTGGCATGCATAGATGAAGAGCCGATTAATACTCAGGAAGAAGAAGCCGGGAAAGAGCTTGAAATCTTTCCTGAAAAAATAGTAGCAATGCATAGAGTGAGGTGGAACATGAACAAGGGTAGTGAGAGATGGTTGTGCTATGGAGGTGCAGCCGGACTTGTTCGTTGTCAAGAGATTGTTTTGTCTGACACTGAAAAAGCGTGGGCAATGAAGAGATGAGAAGCCAGGTTTCTTGTACGTTCTTGTTCTTTTAAGCCCCTATTTATGTTCAATTGGGCAGGTTGACAACGAAGAGATGAGACTCAAAGGCGGCTAATTTAACAAAAAAGCATTATGGGACATCTGAGCATTATCCTAGAGTTTTCAGCCGAATGATGTTTGTAACTTATTAAAAAATAAAGAAAATAATAGTTCTCTCTTGTATCACCAGATTAACGAAATAGCAAAAGATATTATGAAAGTAACTTGTGAAAGAAAAAAAAAATGTAACCAATTGTTTAAGGCTTTTAGTTTATCTCTTGGGAATAGTACCTTTTTTCCGTATGTGCTTTGAGGACCAAGAACATATATGGCTGGAAGAAGTATAGATAAGTTGTCAGTTGAGCAAATGAAGTGCTTAAAGGAGTACATTCCATAAATTACATGATCAGTATTAATCGTAGTTAGGAGGGCGGTTGTGTTAACGCATTTTCGTTAATTATTTTCATAAGCGGCATTAAAGGGAAAATAAAAGTTGTTAGCATAACCTTTCGTTCAACTCAAAACCTTGAAAATTGTCACACTTAAAAGGACGCGACAGTAATTTGTGAACGAGTCGCCATTTTAATATGAGAGTTGCATTCACGTTTCTATATGATCAACCTAGCCACCTACCTGCCTCCTATTTCTAAGAAGATCCAAAATCCAAGCCGCCAAATTCTCATCCGTGGACTCAAAAGACTTTGTTTCCTTGTTCAACAGTCAAACCATCACTCTCTCACCATATTTTGCGCGCAGACACATAGAGAGAGAGAGAGAGAGAGAGAGAGAGTGCTGCATGCATTAAGAAGAAGCACTGTCACTCATGAAGCTCTTTCCTCTTCCTCTATTTATAGCTAAACAACAGTCCTTTCACATGTGTGAGTTGTGAGAGTGAGAGAGTGAGCTCTTTCTAAATTGCAATACAATGAGGACGTTACAAAATCTACTAGTGATTGTACTCAGTACTTATGTTGTAGCTACGTTGGCTAAAGAAACAACTCAGGATGGTTTCGATGCTAGGAAGGTATGTTCCAGATGATAAATTTTCCATTGCTTTCGTCACTTGTCAGACTTTCAATCAAGATCATATGCTTATTCCTATGTGATATGACCTAATTAACGGTTTTTATTGGTAGTATAACATAGCATGTAAGACTGTCTCACAAGAAAATACTTTTATAAATTACATTGTTATTGACGAAGTGACGTGGCATTGTACTGTAACAGCCTTACATTGTGTACATGGGCGAACTGCCAGGAGCAGAAACTTCCGCCATGGCCAGACACCATAACCTGCTAGTGCAAGCAATCGGAGAGTAATGGCCAGTTTCTTCCTACCATTGGTTTTCAAAGTTTTTGTATACATTTGTAGTTTAATCTCGTCGGTAACAGTGAGCTCTGAGCAGTGTTTGTTTCCAAAGGTCATCAATACATCCCAGCGAGACAAATATTATACTTGACCAATAATTTGCTTTTATATTTCAGTGAAGAAATAGCCAGAGCATCAAGAATTCATAGCTATGGAAGGACCTTCAATGGGTTCGCGGCAAGATTGTTGCCACATGAAGCAAAGGCACTAGCAGGTGCATAGAAAAAGAAAATAAATAAATTCACACACATGCCCTCGAGCGCATGCACATACATACATATATATATATATATACACACACTTGTACTTACTTGTCTTAGTAGAATTCTAATTACCAGAATTTTAGACGCTTGCTTTTGATCTTTATGATTTTTCATTAATTTGTAGAGGAAGATAGTGTTGTATCAGTGTTTCCAAACACTATGCGCAAACTACATACAACAAGGTCATGGGATTTCCTAGGACTGCCAATAAAATTAAAGAAAGGGAACGCTCAAATACAGAGCAATATCATAGTGGGTGTTTTGGATACAGGTTGGTAAAATCTGTCACTCTTATTGCGGGACAACAGTGAAGCGAAGAAATTGATGACCCTTTTATTTTCTGTGTATTGTAGGAATTTACTTGGATGGTCCCAGTTTCAATGATACAGGTTATGGGCCTCCCCCATCTAAATGGAAAGGCAAATGTGTCAAGGGTGACAACTTCAAAGGCTGCAACAAGTATGTCTCTCACACAACACAACATAATTTCATTGCAAGTTTGGGTTTTGTGCCTAAGATCAAATAGTACAAGCATAAGTGAAATTAATCTATGAACAGTCTCATAAATTCAATGATTGATGAGAACTTTGACTTTTTGCCCTTTCTTGTGCAGCAAGGTAATTGGTGCCAAATATTTTAATCTGGACTCCAACCATCCTTGGCCAGGCAAATTAAGTCCAGTCGACGATGAAGGCCATGGCACTCACACTGCCTCCACCATTGCTGGTATACCCGTCCAAGGAGCCAGCGTATACGGCATTGCGAAAGGGACTGCACGAGGTGGTGCGCCCCTCTCGCGTATCGCTGTGTACAAAGTGTGCTGGCCCTTTAATGGCTGCAGTGACATCGATATGCTGGCCGCGTTCGATGAAGCCATTGCTGATGGAGTGGACTTGATATCCATCTCCATAGGCGGTCACTCGAGGAGTTTCTGGGAAGATCCTATTGCCATTGGATCATTTCATGCCATGAAAAAAGGGATTTTTGTTTCATGCTCAGCTGGGAATGATGGGCCTAGTGAAGGCACTGTCCAGAATGTAGCACCATGGGTTACCACAGTGGCTGCTAATGCAATTGATAGGAAGCTAAAGACAGTAGTCAAGTTGGGTAATGGGAAGAGATTTTCTGTAAGTCTCTCTCTCTCTCTCTCTCTCTCTCTCTCTCTGAACAGAGATTTATATGATTATATCATGCAGTCTGAGTTAACTGCATTGTTCATTTATTGGTAGGGGAATGCACTCAATACCTACACATTAAAGAAACAAATGTACCCTCTTACAAGCGGAACCCTGGCATCCAACAAGAGTGAAAACAGCTATGGAAATGCAAGGTCTGTATTTTGGCAAAATTATTGTGTTGTCCGTCACATGTGATATTCCTCTCACAATTTGTATGTGGGACGACCTATCATTATATATACGGGATGATCTACATACATATTGTGAGAAGGACAACGCACATATGCTGGGCTTATACAAAGAAAAAAAAAAAAAAAACTTCGAATATTTGTTCTTTGACAAATGCATTTGGATAATAATATCCTATGATAAATTAATTTGGAGATGATGGCAGTGCTTGTGATAGTTCTACTTTAGACGCGGACAAGGTGAAGGGAAGGATTGTGTACTGCCTAGGGTCTAGTGGCCAGGATTTCACCATCCGAAGGTTGCAGGGTGCCGGAACTCTCATGACACAATATGAGTTGGAAGATTACGCCTATTCTCCCGTGATCCCCGGTACCGGTATCCTTGTCAAGGATGGGATCAAGATTGATCAGTATATTAACTCTACCAAGTATGATCTTTGTGCAGCTTACTAAGAACTGTGTTTTTTTTTTGCTTTTCAATTTAAAAAGACTTCTTATCATGAGGAACTGTTTTTATTGAACACTAAGCTGCTTTATGGCTTGGTATGAACTAATTGCAGGAACCCTATGGCTGTCATATACAAAACAAGAACCGTCAAAACTCCAGACGCCCCCGACATTGCTTCTTTCTCAGCCAGAGGACCTCAACGGATAACCCCCAATATCCTCAAGGTACATAAGATGATGAAAATCTCTCTCTCTCTCTCTCTCTCTCCACAACAATTTGGTACTAACTTTTCATGCACAGCCTGATATTTCAGCACCAGGGATAAACATATTAGCGGCATATTCACGTCTGGCATCCATATCTGGTGAC